TAGCTTGAGCACATCGACTCCATTGAATTTCGTACGACTTCAAATGCAGAACATTTAGCTCAATTGCAATGTGGCTAGTGCTTCTCAGTATAACGACTGCCTGGGTACACACAGCAAGGCGTCTAGTTTACAAAAATGATCCGACTTTAAACACTCAAGCAGACTTCATCCCAGCGAAACTGTTACTTACTTATGTGCATTCTTTTGTTTTCCACACCTAGTTTTATGCTAAAGTAATTTCACAATTTCATTTCTCTATATAGCGTTACCAATCTTGTAAAATTTGCATTTGATCATGTAACATTCGTCAATTTTCTTAGGATACTTTTATATTAACATGCTTTATAAGCAAATCAAACAAGGAATATGGCAGATCTAAAACTGTGTAGGAACCGTGAATACTCGCATGCTCTGATTGGTCGGTTTTCTACTATTAGTACTTTCTGCTACTTGCTGAAAAGGAGAATCTTTGTTTACGATATTTACCTCAGCATAAGTGATACAGTTTCTAATGGAACTACAAAAACATGAGTTCTGATATTGAAAGGGCACACAGTACTATTAACTGTCTCAACGAATTTGAGCCCGATGTAATGAATACTTTTTTGCGCGGGGCGGGTTTAAAAACTCAAAGTTTTACAAAAAATGTATGAACTCATTGGCGCTTTTGCCACCCAGAAATTTTGCAGTCTTTGAAAGCCAATTTCTCCTCGAATTTTTCACCCAAAGAGCCAAACATGTAATTCATTACTAAGTTTCACAAACTCTTGAAATGTTTGTAGTCAATTCGTGCCTGGCGTGATTCCTTATTTACGATGACCTCCGCAAAGATCCTCCTATATTTTAAAATTAGAATAGATAATTCAATAAAGGGTACAGCAGGCACTGAAGTGAAAACAAAATGTCCTTAATTCCCTTGGAATACCAGTGGAAAATACATTTTTTAGCTTTGGACCATTATTAGTTAACAGAACACTATCCGGTACTCGAATAAGAAGCGATGTTTCTAAACATTTAACTATAAAAAATTGCGATAAAATATTTCTAAGCGTATTGAGAAAGTTAAAAATTTTGTTATCCAGTACTACCTGAAAACCAACTGTCATGTATCTGTCAATTAAAATAGTATCCAGTTTATTTAATTATTAAAAAACGGTCTGTAAGATTGATTTGAATGTTTCTTTTCAAACTCTGGGTCCCCTACAATGGAATCAAAGTGATTTTATTTGGTTAATTTTGTATCCTGGACTTGCTTACAGTCAACAATATTAATAGTAAGAATATTTTAGTGCTGAGCAATACTATTGGTAGAAAAAAAGAGTCTAGTCGTGTTACTTAATTAAACATTCTTTGTGTATTTTAAAAGTATTAGGCCCTCGACAAGGTAGCGAATTTGCTCCAACATCGCGAAGTAGTACAACATGCACTCTGCGCGCTCGTATAAGAATTTAGTGTGGATAAGTTTGGCCTCTAGACTGTAGAAAAACTCTGTCGAGCGAGTACTACTACTTTTCGTCGCATTGTAGTTAATTAAAGGTTAACGCAGTCAGCGAGTGAATTATCGGGATTTACCTGCAAGAGTTCACTAACAATGAACGAGAAATTTCAATACCGCACGAGGCTTTGCCGAGTGTGGTATTGAAAATTTCGAGTTTATTGTTAGTGGAGAGTACAGGTAAACCCTGATAATTCACGAGCAACAAGAAGATCTGTTAGATCTTATAACCGCGCTTTAAAAATCTAACGGTTCGCTTAGCACTACCGTCGGAACGCAGTGCACATTCCAAAGCAGTCATTGATGATTCTTTTCT